AGAAATTCCAGCGAGACGAGAAGTGAATTACAATGACGACGAAAATTCACCACGGACAAGGTGAAACGAACTGACGTTACGTCGACTAAGCATCGGCCGAATCTTCGATAAATTTGTAATATCGCCAGCTGTCAGGGCCATTCATCCGTAGGGCGCTGAACTACGAAAGAATAGACACGTAGAGAGTTCCGCGTAGTTTCACGCCTGCGCGAGGTTTATTTCCGCGAAAGACACCCGCCCCGGAAGAAAGACGGAGGTGAAAAGAACGCCGCCTCGAAAGGGAACGCCTTTGAAGTTCCAATTTGTTCGATACCTTTTTCCAACGCCTTTTCGCTGCCGACAAATCGGTATGTGTTACATGAATTCTGACAATTTGCCAAACAGAATACACGAACTCACGATGGAATTACCTCTAGCAACATTTTTCGTGATATACACTGGTCCATGAAAGTATTTACAATCGATACATTCATGTTGGTTTTATTTAATGAATGAAAAATAGTTACACGCCACTTTAAGAGACAGATAATAACATAAAAGAACATGTCTGTACAGTATAGAATATATGGATAGAAGAAAGAATGCTCGTTTGTTTCATTATGCATTTTCTCTGCGAACTATCGTAAATGATTTAACTTCGAAGTTATTTTTTCAGTTATGCCACGAGATGAGCTGTCATTGCTAATTTCTAGTATTTATAATGGAAGAAAAGAGAAAATAGATAGACTACCGAAGAATACAAGAGAAAATTTCCAGATAATCAATAACTCCAATTATTTCTTTTTATATAAATCATTCATACCCTTTTTATATAACTATAATAACATCATTTGCATATTACAGATATTTCATGAAATTTATATCCTGCGTTTAAAATACATTTTATTTATGAAAACTGATAAACAAATGTTGACAGCGAACGTATCGCGCAAAAATCATTTCGACGATGTAATAAATTTTATGATCCCGGTATAGTAGGGGGATACAAACAGTGAATTATTTATTGTCGGATCACGAACGAATATCGCTCACTTTCAACAAGCTGCTGATGGTGGAGAATCAAAAGTAAATCTTTCAAATGAAATCATTGAACGGTATCTATTCGGTCGCGCGTGTATTGAATGCGATTTCAGCGCGCAAAGCGACCAATGGCCACAGCCACGTTAATTTTCGACTGACCCATAATCAATCTAACGCGATGTGTTTGCGTGTCATACTCGACTGCTTCTCTACACAGTCGTCAGGCGTATTCGCGGTTCGCTTATTTGCGGACTCGGTTAGCAAAAGTATCCACTGACTAGCCAAAGATTACCGGTGAATCGAAATTGCAACCGGGTTGGATTAACTTTGCCGCGCATGTGCAATGTAATTCAATGTGCTGTTGAATCGTCGGTTTTTACAATGGCCGCCTAGCGGAATTCCACAGTGCAACATCAGCGTTAAACTAAGTAATTGGAAAACAGCATCCACCTGCCTGATTCAATGCTGCATTGAATCAAATAACATACAGAAATATCAGTAAAACGCAATTTATATTTTAACATTTCATTCATTTCTAACTATTCAATTTCTATGAAGAGATGGAAATAAAATGAAATACAAGTATTAACAACGGAATACGTAGTAACGGAATTTTTTCGTACAGTCAACACTGCAACGCGGAGTTTTTTTCCAAGATTTTTGCTATTTAATGCACTATAGTTTAACTCTTTTTTCCCCCTTGAGTTTATTGTTATTTTACAGTGGAATTAGTTTTACTTCTATAGACATTTTTGCGAATGCACCATATGGCGACTATGGTTGTTAAGAAGTAAAATCACTTCTAGAAATAATGCATATTCATCTTGCATGGTTCAGTAACAAAATTGACATAAATCAGAAATTTAAGTAAACAAAATAAAATAGCATGCTCGTCATTTGCATTGAGTTTTATTTTCGATGGACTTTCAGTACTCTTATTTATTTACCGATAAATCTTTGCATTCAATTATATGGTAATATTTATAGGAATGTAAATTCCTACAATAATCATATTGACATAAATTGATTTAGATTGTTTCTATTTCCTTTTACTTGTGTCCCATAGTAAAATAATCTACAAACTATAAAAATTTATGTAAATTTGCACGTTTGTACAAAATTTGAAAAAATGGAAATTAAAGTTCTTTCAACCCTTCAACTATGCATCTGAAAATTAATAGTAATACAACACTCTATTTCATACCCTAGAATTCTATACTTTACGATCTTTCATAGATTTTCTAACCCCATAAATACGTAAAGTTTCGCAGCACAGTATTCAGAAACAAGAAACTACAGAACATATCACTATCAAAATATTTAACAGACCGACAAAACTTACAAATTTATACGAAAGAAATGTAAAATGAAGACTTTCCAGTCCCATCTTCCTCTATATATTTTCACACGTCACCCCACACTCTCCCACAAATCCCAAACACCACTAGTCCTCCCAGCATCGTAGCTCAACGTTTACACGATATCCCCGAACCGCGGCGGACAGACCGAAAGAATTGAAAGACCGTCGAAGGGTGGGATACTGGTTAAAGATGAACCACTTTCGACCGGGTATCGGCCGACGACGGTCTTTAAAATATTCACACGGCCCCGCGTTTGACGGTCGCGCCGCGCGGAAAGGACGAAAGCGTCCCCCAGGACACAGGGACACATTCTCCCGGAGAATTTCCTCTGTTGGGCCGGGGTCCTTCCATCGATTCCGAACTTCAGACCGGTCCAGGAAGCATTGCACCGTTTCGACTCCAAGGGAGACAGAAAGCGGGACAAAAAA